TCCCGATTTTGGAAGCTTTACTAGCGAAAAATTCATGAACGGTAACTGGTTTTTTAATTCAAAGCATACTTTAGTGATTGTGAACCTTTACTAGTACAAAATCCAAGCTTCATAAACAATTTCTGATTTTTGAACCTTAACTAGTGCAAAATCAAGAAAAATTTAGGAACGCTTCATGGTTTTTGAATTCATATTATACTTCAGCAATTTTTAACCTTTAAATATAAGATCTAGGAAAATTAATGATTTTTGAACCTTTACTAGTGCAAAATTCAAAAAAAAAAAAAAAACAGGAATTATTCATGGTTTTGGATTCACATTATACTTCAGCAAATTTTAACCTTTAAATATAAAATTCAGAAAAAATTACTGATTATTGAATCCTTTGTAGTGCAAAATCTAGGAAAACTCAGCTACGATTCATGATTTTTAAATTCACATTATATTTCAGCAATTTTAACCTTTAAATATAAAATTCAGGAAAAATTACTAATTTTTGAACCTTTACTATTTTAAAATCCATGAATAATTCGTAGTTTATGAATTCATATTATACTCCAGCAATTTTTAACTTTAATTTTAAATATAAAATTCGAGAAAATCCAGGAATGGTTTATGATTTTTAAATTCACATTATACTTCAACAATTGAGAGGTACTACTTCAGGTCATTCAAACTCCGGGAATAATTGTTGAATTTTGAACTTTTAAATATTCAAAGTCCGGTAGTCATTCCGGGAGTTGCTCCGTATTTTAAATAGGAATATTTTTGTCCAGACTTATACTCTCACATTAATAAGTGATTACTTTGCCAATATACTTCAAAATGTGACTAAACTCTAATAGCTGACCTAAAGGGTGGCTGTTTATTAAGATCATCCCGTTGGACTCATTCGGAAACTGGGCTTAAAGTCTTTCCATTATGGGATTTTTACCTTCCTATACTACATATGTAACTTTATTAACCTCTCTAATCAAGTTTTAACTTAATTACATAGGCATATATAATTTACCAATTATATACAATCAGTATTAATGAGTATCCCTTTATATTAGGAATTGAATAGGGAAATATCTCTCTCTCCCCCCCCCCTCCTCTCTCTCTCTCCTTCTCTGTTCTTTCCCCAATTTTCTTCCTTCGTTTTTCTCAGCTTTTTATCATCTTTTTCCCCCCAGGGAATTCATCAATGAATTTCAATTGTTTCAATATAGAGTTTTAACCTAGCAATTTCCTTTCATGTTGCACAATTGGTGTTCGAATTGAAATTGCCAATCAATAAAATTTGAAGGTGTTTGATTCTCCGCCATTGACAGCCATTAAAATGCTTCAAAGCTAACTCGAATTTGAATTTTCAAAATCTATTGTTTGTTTCGATTGGGTGTTGTTATAAATAATTGAAAATCTTCTTTGAAGTTTATATCTCAATTTTGAGGGTGTTTGGTGAAGATTAGACTTGATTTTGGCTAAATTTCAGATTGAAACTCGAAGAAGAACACATGACATACAATATATTTACGAAATTATATGTAAATTGTATTTAAGTTGTATTCTATTGTAATTATATATTTTTTATTTGCATGTTATATGAAAGTTGAAAAATACTTGTATAATGTATGAATCGTTGTATGAAATTTGTATTTAAGTTATAAGTATTATCTTTTAAATTAAAGTTGTTGATATGTATCAAAATTGTATTAAGAGATGAAGTTTTGATTAAAATTTCAGAGAGGAAGAAGAACACACCACTTACAAAATATATATAAATCATATACATAAAAATATATTGTATAAAATTTGTACGAAAATTGTATTTAAGTTGTATGATGTTGTAGTTGTATTTAAGTGTATAAAAATAATGTATGAAAGTTGTAGATAAATTATAAATAAGTTATATACTATATAATTAGTCGTATAAAATTTAGTTTTAGTTTATATGTTGTTGTAAATATATCAAATTTGTATCAAATACTTAAGGAACCTCTTCTCTCCAATTTTTAAAAGTCAAGAAGACATCGTCGTTAGTTGAATATTTCGTTCCTCGATGTTCTTGCCTTTCGAGTAAAACCTTGATGCCGAATAGGTTGACAAGCGGTTTGGTCGACGAATTTGGTGTCAGTTGATTTATTAGAAGATGTTTCAAGACAAGTGGCAACTCGCCAATTGGTTAGCCAAATGGACTAAAACATCACACTATCCTACTATATTAAAAACGACCTTTGTACAAATTTAATCAAATAAAAGAGAGAAATTTTTAATGTACATACATAAAAGAAAAATTGTATAAATTGATTAATTACAAACTTAAATATTTTTATTAGAGTTAAAGGTTAGATGGACAAAAAATTTCATAATATGATTTCTTTATGAAATGAAGAAAAAAGGAATTCAAAAGAAAAAAATTTCACTTATATAAATATGTGTCTTTGTGTATGCGCAACTAAAAACAAAAAGAAAAAAAAAAAAGAAGAATAAATGACATCTAGAGTTGTGGTGTCCGTCCATTGAACTGTATTTCCGATAGAGGAAAAAACACATGTAGACAAAATTTAAGAAATATTTTCAAAAACCTAGCAGCAATTGGCATTTTACTAAGATGGCAGATAAATAAATACATATCTTATCTGACAGCTATAAATATTGATCAATAATCACGTTTAAGAAAAATATCCAAAGAATTCCTTCCCTAAAAAAGCGCCAAAGTGATTCAGTTTTTAAGAATAAACAATAGTCCTAAAAAAAAAACCAAATATAACTAGAAATGTATGTGAGGATAATTTTCATCCAAAAATAACTCCTCAGTCCTCCCTCCCTGTAGGCATAGTATACCCTTTTTGAGCGAAATTCTTGTCACAAAAAGAATTTAATTCAATAAAACTATTTAATATTATCTGCAATATATTATATTTAAAAATTTATTTACCGTATATTTATACATAAGGAATAACAATGGTATACATAAGCATATAAATATTAAATTTGTTACTACTTATACAATTAATGTATATTGAATAATAAATAACATATACATCATATATACAAATATATATTTTATATTTTAAATATACATAAAATATATTCAGATTTTCTTAAATATACATAAATTATACATTAAATATATAATACATACACAGAATATATACAGAATTATATATTATTTAATAATGATACATCAAACATATACTATATAAATAAAAAGACATGATGTATTTTTGTTTGAGAGAATAATGGAAATGTGATTTTAAGACCAACTATTTATTTGGAAAAAGAAATTCATAGACAAACGATAAGTTTAGAAAAGTTCAAATTAATGATGAGAGAGAAGTGGATAGATTAATTTGACTCAAAACTAATCCCTTAAATTGTGGTTCAGTGTTTAAACGTTTAAGAAATTGATGGTCATTAAATAAGGTAAGGGATCTTTGAAAATACCACAACTGTAAATTGAATATGCTTTTTTTTGGAATAAAACAGAAGTACTATTATTTGTATAAATATTTTTTAATAAGAGTCCTACCATGTAAAAATCTCTTTCCGGATATCTGAATTTTTCCTATTCTTTTTCCTTTTTCAACATTTTTCTTCTTTTCGTTTTCCTTCTAGAGTTGTGGTGTCTTGTTTTAGTGGTCATTAACTCTAAACTAAGCAATAACATGTTGAGAAGCTTGCCACTTCGCTTTCTTTCAAGATTTCACAGTAGCTCTTCTATTTCCCAACTCAAGAGTACTTCAACGTGCCTCCTTTGTATGTAAAGACACGTGAATTCCATATGATATATTTTCACCTACATATCCCCCCATTGCAACATAACAAAACCAAATGTAAAAAGGGCCTCCACGTCCACAGGAGAGGATACGCCACCAGCCATGAAAAAGCTCCTTGAAACGTGGTTGACCGATACGTTAGTAAGCATGCTCAACAAACCTGCCCCATGAACGACCATACAGACCACAAGAGCCCACACGGTGAAACGAGCAAACAAGCAGGACGACCAACGTACACCAGGTATAACCCACAATATTACTAACAATGCAGGTGACAACATCCTCATCGTCGTTCTAAAGAAGATGGAAGAAATGGAGAATGAAAACAAAACGCTCAGAGATCAAATGAAATAACACCTAGAATAAATCAACAAGATACCGAGCACCCCTAAGCTACTGCCAAAGAGGGACGCCGGTAGATTCATAGAACAATCGTATAGCAACGATGCAGCCCCACACGCCATACCAAAGACCTTCAAAATGCCGCCATATCTCAGGAAGGGCAACGACATCACCAAGGAACATGTGTTCTCTATTTTGCTGAAGAAATTTTGGTGAAACCCTCACGGGAGGAGCATTAACATGGTATTCACAGCCACCAGCCCGTTCTATAGAAACCTTCGAAAAAATGGCCGATAAGTTCGTTACGGCACATACTGGAGCCAAGAAAGTCGAAACAAGAGTAAACGACATCTTCGCCATCAGACAGTCCTTGGGAGAGGGGCTGGAAGACTTCCTCGCCTAATTCAATAGGGTAAGTATGGCCCTACCAAACGTGTCCGAAGGGATGACAGTCACGGCTTTCCAGAACGGATTGAGTAGAGAGGGTTCAAGAGCGACCAGAAAATAGCTGAGCCGGTTGATGAAGATCCTCCAACCATTTGGGATGAAATCCACAATGCTTACTGCACCGAAGTCCGAGTAGATGACGACGATCTCAACGGACCAATTTTATGGCTCGTCTCGATACAAGCCGAGCCTAGGAAAGAACAAAGAGATAACATAAGGAGGGATCACCCGGTCTCACGACCAAACTGGGAAAAACATCAGCCATACTTCTGGGCCTCCGCATTGCCTTCTTTCCGCTATGATGAAGACCTATCTAGGCTGAAGACGGGGACTCACCGAAATGAGATAGGTATGCCCCCCTTATTGTCTGCTCACAATTTTTGTGTGTCCCCTACATAAATAGTCTATGCCCTAGAGAAACTCGAAACGAAGGTGAAGTGGCCGCCAAAGATGAGGTCCGACCCGAGCACCAGAAAATTCGACGCCCTCTGCAAATTCCAGCAGCAACACGGACAAAAGACAGAAGACTGCATCGCCCTCAAGCAAGAAGTTGTGAACATGTTGCAGCAGGGAAACCTCAAAGAGCTACTGAGCGACAAGGGGAGAAACAACTTCGCCAGAGGTCATGAACACCAAGGCTCGCCGAAGCCACCATCACCAAATCGCACAATCAACATGAACATCAGCGGCAACGACGATGCCTCCATCAACGACATTAAATTCACTGTCGCTCACAAGCTCAAAAGATCTATCACCCATGAACGGTATGACCGACTCGAAGAAAGTATCATCTTCACGAGTCAGATGCCTACTGTTTGATTTTCCCTCACAACGATGATCTCGTCATTACTTTACGAATTTTAGATATTCATGATGTCAAACATATCATGGTAGACGATGGGAGTGGAGCGTGCATTATCCATCCCCGAGCCCTCACCTAGATGAGACTCGAGGACAAGATAGTGTCACGTTGGATCACACTAACTGGTTTTAATAATGTAGTTGAACGGACTTCGAGTGATATTACACTCCTTGTCTTGGCCGGTGACATAACTCTGGAGACAACGTTCCACATCATGGACAGACCACCACATACAATGCCATAGTAGGGCGACCATGGATACATCCCATGAGAACCGTCCCCTCCCAAGTGATCAAATTCCCAACATCTTGGGGGATATTCAACATACGGGGAGAACAATGCATGTCTCGGGAATGCTACCATGCCGCCTTAGACAGCACGACAATCCAACTGAAGAAAGACAAGGAAAAAGAGGCATAGCAATCAACAGGGTTGAGGTCGACGCAAGAAGAGACCAGGGACGTCGTCATGGATCCTGAAACGGTTGAAGCCGCGGACTCAACTATAGAGGACCTTGACCCCGTTCAATTAGACCCTAGGACTCCAGCAAAAAGGCCTACATTGGCTGCAAACTCTGAGAACCAGGTAAATTTAGCCAATTTTTAATAACTAATGCGGATTTGTTTGCCTTCAGCCATGCAGATATGTCAGGCATCCCCAAGGAGATCGCCACACACAAATTAAATGTTGATCCGTTCTAACCCCTGGTAAGGCAGGTCAAACAAAAATTCAACCTCACTATCAATGATGTCATCCACGAGGAACTGAAGAAGCTATTAGAAAATGGCTCCATCAGGGAGTCGAAATACCCCAAGTGGATCGCCAACGTAGTGATGGTCAAAAAGAAAAATGGGAAACAGAGGATGTGTGTAGACTTTACGGACTTGAACAAGCAAGCCTGAAGGATTCATTTCCATTACCACATATCGACCAACTCATCGACGAGACAGTCGGGCATGAGATGTTGAGCTTTTTGGACCCATACTCGGGCTATAACCAGGTACTTATGGAAGAAGAGGACCAGGAGAAAACCACGTTCATCACCCACCGAGGAACATATTGTTATAGGGTCATGCCATTCGGGCTGAAGAACGTAAGAGCAACATATCAAATATTGGTCACAAAAATGTTCAAAGATCAGCTTGGCAAGACCAATGAGGTATATATCGATGACATGCTGGTTAAATCCATAAAGGCCGAGGACCATATCGACCACTTGAAGGAAGCTTTCGACATACTGAGATGATACGGAATGAAACCAAACCCAGATAAATGTGCGTTCGGTGTGTCCTCGGGGATGTTTTTGGGCTCCTTAGTGTCACAATAGGGTATCGAGGTCAACCTAAACCAAATCAAAGCTATCGAAGGGATACCGTAGCAATTGACTACTAAGAAGCAAGTCTAAAGTTGACTGGCCAAATCGCCGCCCTATCGTGATTTATCTCGCGGTCGTCCGACAGATGTCACAGATTTTTCGATGTACTAAAAAGGGATAATGGCCTTGAGTGGACGCCGAAGTGCGTACAAGCTCTACGAGAGCTAAAGGCGTATCTGTCATGACCGTCTCTACTATCAAAGCCCGAACCCAGGGAACATCTTCTCATCTACCTGGCCGTTTCCGAAGTGGCAGTAAGTGTAGTCCTGGTCCGAGAAAGTAAAGGTATGCAATCTCCCATTTATTACATTAGTAAAACACTCGTCGACGCTGAAATGAGTACCCACACCTCGAGAAACTGACCCTGGCACTAGTCATAGCTTCACAAAAGCTTAGATCCTATTTCCAGTGCCACCATATCTCGGTCGTTACGACCTTTCCTCTGAGAGGCATTTTACCTAAACCCAAATTATCGGGGAGGCTGGACAAGTGGGCTATCGAGCTAAGCGAGCACGATATCACATATCAATCGAACAACGATAAGGTCGCAATTGATCGCCGACTTCATCACAGACTTGAGTGCAAAGATAATACCTGAGGTCGAGAAGGAAGCCATCCAAGCTTCTCTCCAAACGCAAGACCTCTGGGTCCTATACACCAACGTCGCATCCAACGCTTCCGGATCTGAACCGGGACTCGTACTCGAGGTCCCTACCAGCAAAGTAATTCGCCAGTCCATAAGATGCCCAGATATGACTGATAATGAGGCCGAGTAGGAGGCCGGAATTGCAGGATTGAGACTAGCACTTAAGTATGGGGAGAAGCGGTTAAAACTCCGTTGTGATTCCCAACTCGTATTCAACCAAGTCACAGGGACTTTCCAAATCAAAGAGCAAAGATTGCAAAAATATCAGACCGAGATCTGCAAGCCGCTGCTCAAGTTCGACAAATGCATGTTTGACTAGATCTCGCATGCACAGAGTGTTGAGGCGGATGGCCTCGCCAAATTAGCCGCAGCCACCAAAAGCATCACGATCGGGGATAAAAGTGTAGTTCGCCTTCTCAACTCATCGCTAGACCAAATCAAGGTAAGATCTGTAATCTTAACTTAGGATTGGCGCAATCGTATTATCGCCTACTTGCAGGACGGCACACTCCCAAACGACTAAAAGGAAGCCAAAAAATTAAGAATGCAAGCAGCCAGATACAATCTCCTCCACAGCGACCTATATAAAAGGACTTACGGTGGCCCTCTAGCGAAATCTTAAGGCCCAAAAAAAACCCAACGCGTCCTCGAAGAAGTCCATGAAGGCCATTGCAGCACTCATTCCGGCAATCGAGCACTCGTTAGGTGTCTCATACGGGTAGGATACAACTGACCCACCATGAAAAAAGATGCCTCAGAATTTGTGAAGAAATGCGAACAATGTTAGAAATGCGCCCCAATAATCCACCAAGCAGGTGAGCATCTCCACTCAGTTACCTCTCCATGGCCGTTCATCAAGTGGGGAATGGACATTGTGGGCCCCTCCCAACAGGGTGAGGTAATGTACGATTTCTTTTAGTTTTAACTGCTATTTCTCTAAATGGGTGGAAGCAGGAGCATTCGCCCAAATACGCGAACAAGAAGTAATTACCTTCATATAGAAAAACATCATCTGCCGATTCGGCCTACCCAAAGAGATCAGCTGCGACAATGGACCCCAGTTTACGGGAAAGAAAACCGCCAAATTCTTTGAGAATGAAATATTAAGAGGATACTTTAAACCTCATATCACCCAATGGGTAATGAGCATGTAGAATCCTCCAACAAGTCCATATTAAACATCACGAAGAAAAAGCTCGAAGACGCCAAGGGACTGTGGCCAGAAATACTCTCAGAAGTATCATGGGCATATATAACCATCCCGAAGACAAGCATAGAAGAGACAACCTACTTTCTGGTCTACGGAACCAAAGCAGTCATACCAGTAAAAGTCGGAGAACCAACCTAAGGTACTCCCACGAAAGCGGTACTAGTAATGACGAGAGTAGAAGGCAAGAACTCGATGAGATCGACGAACGAAGAGATATGGCGTGCATAAGGATGGTCGCTCAAAAGCAGCAAGCCGAACGTTACTACAACAAGAAAGCAAGGGTCCGGCCTCTCAAAGTCGGAGACTATGTACTGAAAGCCAAAACCCAAGCAAGCAGAGATCCACGAGAAGGCAAACTGGGAACAAACTGGACTGCCCGTACAAAATTGCATCCAAAGCAAAAAAGGGTTCATTCCAACTAGAGACGATGGAAGGAACACAATTACCAAACAATTGGAATATCAGCCACCTCAAATACTTCAACTTCTAAAAAGAAGAAGTGCTCCCAAGTTGTACTCTTTTTCCTCACTTGAGTTTTGTCCCATTAGGGTTTTCTCAAGGAGGTTTTTAACGAGGCGACGAAAGGGACACTTCGAGTCGAAGTATGCGAAGGAGGGAATATTTTCTCTTTCATTGCCCGACTCCTAAATACTCTCCAAGTCGAACAATGAATGGGCTAGATAGATTGGGACTGGGACTGGAATGCCTGCCAATGTCCAAAGTTTGTAACTTTCTCCAATCATGTAATCAGAGAAACAACATCAAAATAATAGAAACTTATGTTTATCAAAACCTCCTTAACAAATAGATAAGTTTGACCCAGCTCGAACAACAATCATCTGTCCTCGGACACACCTTAACAAAAGGTTAAGTTCAACCCTACTCGAACAATACCTATCGGCTCTCGGCTGTGCCATTAACAAAAAGTTAAGTTCGAACAACACCTATCGGCCTTTGGCCAATTAACAAAAGTTTAAGTTCGACCAAATTCGAACAACACCTACTGGCCCTCGACCGCGATGTAACAAAAGGCTAAAATTCGACCAAGTTCGAACAACACCTATCGGCGCTCGGCTACGATTTAACAAAGGTTATGTTCGACCAAGTTCGAACAACACCTAACGGCCCTCGGCCGCGATTTAACAAGAGGTTAAAATGTGACCAAGTTTGAATGACACCTATCGGCCCTCGACCACATTTCGATGGAAGGTTAAAATTAACCAAACGAGAAGCTAAGTCCGATTAAGTTCAAACTTAACCGATCGATCCTCAGACATATTCGATCTATACGGACAAAGGGATGATTCGGCCTATGGCTATTAAACCCAAGGACTATGACCAATTAAAAGATGACAACAAAAGTATGAAGGAGCAAAACACGCAAGTACATAAACAAATCAAGGCAAATAAGAAAGGCACAAATGAAAGAAAAAACCAACTTTGATATTTATAGACAAGGGTTTTTTACAAAGGCTCTTGGAGTCTCCAGAAAAAATACACATAATAATAAAAACAAACTACTACTGGCCATCGCCATCAGGCCCATCACGACCTGTAACATCCTTACCGGTACGACCCTTAATAACGTTGCTTCCCTAAGCGTCACCGCCATCACCGCCCCGATCTTCAGCGCCCTCTCCATCTCTCCCGAAGGGTAAATAGAATCATACCAGGCCTCATCCTCAAGGTGATCTATAGCATCCTCTCTGTTCTCATCTTCTTTGCC